TAAATAAAGAGCATCCCAGCTGTCTGGCCTGACCCTGAAGGGAGGGAATGGAGAGCTGGTGTGGCCGCGCAGATTTACATGTCTAGCTAGCCCATAATCTGTCTCCAGGGTCTGTCTGAACCCATTTGTATAATTTGTCTCTACAACTTCCTTGCAACACTCCCCTTAGCTGTGAAGAAGGACTTTCTGTAGCTTGTTTCAAACCTGCTGCATAACAATGAATCAGATGCCTCCCTGCTTGTGCTTGGAGAACTGATGAATATTAACTCCTTCCTCACATCCTCCGTTGCAGACCTCTGTCGTATCTCCCCAGCATGAAGCCCTAGTTCACAGTCTGTTCTCACATCTGTTTTCTGATCATCATCATCATACTTCTTCCTATACCTTTCAGCATTTAATACTTCTTTTTTTTTCAGAAGTGAGGTTATGAGGCTGCAGTAGTATTCAATAGATAGGGTCACTGTGGGTGTGCATGACACCGGGAGGGCAGGGGGAAAACTAAACATTTCCAGGAGACCAGAACGGAGCAGCCGAGCTCAGACCCTTCTGCCAGGGCAGAGTGAGGATGCTTTTTGTTGAGCAGCTCCTCAGCTTTTGTCCAGTCTCACCAGGATGTCGCCAATGTTCAGCCTTTCTCCGGAGGAGTGTGTGCGGTTCCTGGCAGCACCACCTCCTGCAGGGACCCGCAGGCGTGAAGGGTGATCCCAGCCAGCTCTGCTCTCTCAGAAAACAGGGAGCAGGTGCCAGTCCTGCTGCCTGGGGGTTTTCAGTTGTGCATGCCTATCCCATGCCTATCCGCGCTGTTCTCCTCAGTTTCCCCATGCATCCACCGCTCCGCTCCACTGGTGTTCGGGAGCAGCAGGTATTCCGCATCCCAGGGTTTGCGTGACGAGCTGGCACTGGGGCCAGCTGTGCAGGACGGCTGCCCTCGGAGCTGCATCGCAGGTCCCCCAGCAGAGCTGGTGCTGGCGAAGGCTGGGGCTGTGCGGAAGGCATTGCCACCGCCAGCACGGTCGGTTTGGACCTGTTGCCCTGTGGCTGCAACATCCCAGCAGCGGGGCAGAGCTGCTGCGCGGTGCCCGTGCCCGTGTCCACCCTGCCAGTCTGCTCATCTCACGCTGTCTCTCTTCTCAGTGCGCCGTGGGCCACGAGTACGTTGCCGACGTTGGGAAGCACTCCTCGCAGACGGACGCAGCCCAGGGCTTTGGGGGGAAGTACGGGGTCCAGCGGGACCGAGCTGACAAGGTGCATGGGGCGGGGTGGCTGGAATGTGCACTCACGGCTGTGCTGAGCGCTACCCCTGAGCCGCGGCGCTGTGTTCAGGATTGCGCCGCAGTTTCACGGCGCTGGGGGTTGCTGGTCTGGGTGTGCCATGCACTGAGGTCTCCACCTCTGCTGAAACATGCGGGACAATGACCGATGACAAAGTGCAGGGACTTGTGCAGGTTAACTCTCTGGTGTGCAGTGACGTGCTTGCCCTGTCCCATCCAGCAGCACCAGGTTTGTTTTGGGGGCTGTTCTGTTTTGCGTCTCCAAACCTCCCAGCTGTGCCATGCGCAGTGTCTGGCTGTAGCAGGTCTGGATGGGGACAGCAGGATGCCATCGTCCCTCCCGCACACGTCCTGGGGTCAGACGCTGCCCAGCCGCCTTCCCCGCTGACGGGGTGCGGGGTCGGGATTGTGTCCCTCTGTCCTGGGGTGCAGGGGTTCCTGCAAGGGCCCATCCTGGGTGTGCTGCCCCATGGACACGGGGTGGTGTGAGGGGCTGAGGAGGCTGTGCCCACCGAGGAGTGGGACAGCACAGGACAGGGAGCGGGGGAGAGGGTGGCTCAGACGCTGCCCAGCCGCCTTCCCCGCTGACGGGGTGCGGGGTCGGGATTGTGTCCCTCTGTCCTGGGGTGCAGGGGTTCCTGCAAGGGCCCATCCTGGGTGTGCTGCCCCATGGACACGGGGTGGTGTGAGGGGCTGAGGAGGCTGTGCCCACCGAGGAGTGGGACAGCACAGGACAGGGAGCGGGGGAGAGGGTGGCTGGGACCCCGTGGCCCGTGGGTGACCGACGTTCCCTTCTCGTTGCAGTCAGCGTTGGGTTTTGAGTACAAGGGTGAGGTGGAGAAGCACTCGTCCCAGAAAGGCAAGTCCATGGGCACGCGTGGCCCCTCTGCCCAGCGTCTTTCCTGCGCCCTGTGTCCCCTGCTGTCTGCTGTGGCACAGCCTCCTCTGTTGTCCCTCTCCTGTCCCTGTGTCAGGGTCCCGTTCCCCATCAGTTGTCCTGGCGGCCCCGTCCCCTGCTGTCCTGTTGCCATCCCTCTGTTGTACATTCCGCTCGTCTCTGGGTTTTGCTCAGGCGGAACCCCATCGTGGCTGAGCAGAGGACCCTCACGCACCCCCAATGGACAGCCGATGCTCCTGTTCCGCTGAAGGTCCTGCTGAGCAATGGCTCCGGAGGGACCCCAGGCACTGCAGGACAGGAGAAGTGATTTCTGAAAAAGCCGCGTGTAAGAAAAGGCACAACAATGGCTGTGGAAACAAGAGCCTACACAGCACCCAAACTTTTGCAGAATTCTGGAGAGAATTCAGCCAAACTTTGACATGTACATACAAGCGGCTATATTCATTAAGAACGTGGCAAGAACTGAAGATATTTTAAATATTCTGCAACCAAGAGAAGATGAGAGGGCAAGGTCTGTTACTGCTTCAGATAAATGTGAGGACTACTGCATTGCCAAGAAAAGAAGAACTGAATCATATTTGTTTAAGAGATAAAAGAAGGAAGAAGTTTTGAGGCATTCTTGGTTGGTCTTAAATTACTGAATCATGTGCAGTCATGCTGCATTAACATATTCCTGTATGAGAGATTGTATACTGGATCATAGACACAGAGATCCATCAGGCTGTGTAAACTCACAGACACTGCTCAGGACAAAATGAAAGTGTTAGAAATAGGGAAAGGTGTTTGGATTGTTTTTCATAGAAATGTGTCCCTGCTGGAAATTCCAGCATCAAGGTACAGTCATAATATATAAAATCTATATTTGCTGAAAACAGCATCCTAAAAGGTCAATTTCATAATGGCCTAAGGGGTAAATAACAGTTTAATCAAGAAAAGTTTAAGACATTTCTAGGACTTACAGATTCATCCTTAAGTCACTGAGCTTCTGTGAAACAGAGAGCCGTTCCTGAATACCCAGTGTTTTCATGGTTTGATAAGGCTGAATTTGCTGGAGAAGCCCCAGCTCACTCCTGCGAAACGCAGACCTGTAAGAGCAGGGTCAGGGAACAGGGAGAGGTAACTGGGATTTACTCCTTCTGGAGGGTTTGGAAGCGGCCGGCAGACCCCAGGGCTTGGAGAGGAACGTGTCTCCAGCAGCTCGGATAGAGGCTGATCAGCCAGTGATACCGGGTAATCCTTACAGAGTAACCGAACTCCGCTGAAGTAGTTAAGGTATTGCTAGTTTGGAAGATGGGAAAAGGGGGGGCGTGAGGAAGACGTGCTGTGCCTCTGTCCCACCATGGTGGATGCCAGAGACAGCCTGGGGAGAGCTGGAGCAAGTCTCCAGAAATGGGGGTTCCAGCCTTTGCTGCAGGATCCAGTCAGTGTTTCCTTGTAGAAGCTGAGATTCCGTTACAGCCGGTGTAAGCTGCACAGCAAACGTTTGTCATTTCTCTGTGCTTGCAAGGGCTCGATGCACTCATAGACCTCTTCAGAGCCTGGCAGCGCTCAGGTTGCAATCCTTGCTCGGAGATGCGTGGGGGGGAGGATGCCCAGGCTGTCAGTGCCTGCGTCTTGCCTTGGCTGCGTGTCCTCGGGTAACTGAGCCCCCTCTGCCTCCCCACCTGCCCGTGCCACGTCCCGTTCCTCCCCTGCCCGTGCCACGTCCTGTTCCTCCCCTGCCCTCTCGCCTGCGCTGTGTCCTGCTGCTGCGGCCCCCGCCTGCCCCGCACACCCATTCCCATCATCCCCAATGGTCCTTGTGGGGCTCCCTGACGTCCTCTCTGTTCCCTCCAAGCCCCTGGCTTTTGCTAGTGTCTCCCATCATCCCTGCTGCTCCTCCTCCTCCCTGGTGCTCGTCCCCAGTGCTGCCCTCCATCCGTCCCCTCCCCTCGCCAGCCCCATGCTCCGGGCAGCAGTGGGCTTCGACTACAGGAGCCAGGCGGAGAAGCACGACTCCCAGAAAGGTGAGCGGGGGGGCTGCCAGGACTGGAGCGTGGGGCTGT